GAAAGTGTTCAGGATTTGTGTGATGTATATATTTCAAGAACATTGACTAGCTTGACTCAACTTGTGATTTAAAACGGTTTACTGTTGATGGCAAAGAAGGGTTTTTGAAAAGATGCCCCCATTCTCTTTGTTTTCTTTTTAACCTTCTTCTTACTTTCTCTTCCGTGAGTTATATTGTTTTTTATCTTTTATTCTTGAANGTTTTGTTTTTAATTTGTTTCGGTTTCCACTTTTCAAGAATCGGTCTTGTGTTGATTAATTTTGTCTGTTCTTTGTATTGTTTAATCCATGGATTGAACAATTGGGTAAAGATCACAACTTTATGATGTTGGTGAGCTCATTGTGTTTTTGCACTCTGCATTTCTAATTCTGGGTTTTATGAAAGTGTTCAGGATTTGTGTGATGTATATATTTCAAGAACATTGACTAGCTTGACTCAACTTGTGATTTAAAACGGTTTACTGTTGATGGCAAAGAAGGGTTTTTGAAAAGATGCCCCCATTCTCTTTGTTTTCTTTTTAACCTTCTTCTTACTTTCTCTTCCGTGAGTTATATTGTTTTTTATCTTTTATTCTAGAAAACCCTATATGTCAATTATGCTGCACTACTTAGCAATCTCAATTTTTGATTTGAAGACTTTAAAAAGACCAGGTGACGAATTCTTAGACATGGGATTGGGAGCTATCACAGTAATAGTGGTGATAGTAATGTATTTCTTCTGCTGAGGAAAGAAAATGTACCTCACTGATTTGAATTTGTGTGGGAATATCTTAATGAACTTTGTTTATATGACTTCAGCTTTGAGTATGACCATTGACCATGATCACTTTCTGTTCGCTAGTTAAGAATTTATTGTTTTGTTGAAGACAAAAGCACAAGCTTTGTGTTTATATCAAAGTGTTGAATCTTGACAGGGTTTATAGTGTGTTGTTATGCAACATGGAATCTCAATTAGTAGACAGAAATGATGCTATGGAAGTTTCTGGGAATATGGATTTGATTACATATGAAGTTCAGGTAGATCAAGAAACATATGAAGGTATGCTATTATGATCACATGATTTTGATATGGAATTCTGAACGAAGAAAAGTGATGGAGGTCTTAAATATAGATCCTTGCATCCTGAATATCACTTTATCATGGTTTCTGCATCATCTAACAATTGGTTTAGGAGGTTTCCAACTTTTAATGTAGTAAACCTGAGTTGTTGCACCCTTCCCTCTTGGTCTGGGCAGAAGTCACCGGTTTAATAAAAGAGTGCATCTGGTGTCCATTCCTTAATAACTCCAATAAGTATTTGATTGTGGTATTTTCAAACATATTTTCCACTTTTTAAATATTGTTACTTAACATAAAAGAAGTCTAAAATGTATAAACTATGCGGTATGGAATTCAAGAGGGAGAAAGAAAAAGAAAGACAGAGAAAGAAGAGGGGGAGAGAGAGCAAAACGGAATGGGGAAGTTTCAGGGAAAGTGGAGAGAACAGAAAGATCAAGAAATATGTGCACGGCACTTTGTCATTAACATTCAATCTAGATTCAGCTATCTAAAATACAATAACCTACCTTATTATAGGCAGTTGTCAAACAGCTATGAACTAATAACAGCTGACTAGTTAACTAAATAACATCCTTGTCTTAGTTATATTGGCATGCCACTATGATATGTGGAAAATAAATTAGTTTGTATCAGCAATTACCTACCCTTAAACCCCACTTTACAATATAGTGCTGGAGTTACTCTTCTAATTTATAGTTTGTTTCATGTTACTTAGTTAATTAATCTCTGTTGATTGTTCGGGTGTGTAAAAATTATATATTTACAGTAGGTATGTATTTTATTTAGTTAATTATTCAATGTCATAGCTTAATCCTACAGCATGCAACCCCTCCCAAATGGCTTAAATTCTGTTCATTAGTTCAGTGATTCATTTATGATACATTTTCTATGCCTTTTTGCCATATCCTCATTCAAGGATCAAACCCTGAGAAATCAGTTGTATGTTACTCTGTCTGAAAGAAAATATCACTGAGATATACATGCAAGCAGGTTCACATGTTTTGCGGTGATTGCTGGATGGTAATCCTTCCACTGGACTCCTTTTATTTTTTTTGTTCACTTTTATGGGAGTTGAGCAATGAAAAAGTAAGATAAAATTTTTGCCTATGCATCATATGACTGTTAAGGGTTCTATATAGGGAGAATTGAGTCAAATCTCAGATGAAGTATAGGCCTTCTGATTATGTTTAGAATTCTTGATTTTTTTCTGCATTTAATGACTTAATTTGAACTCTTTCTTGACATTCCATCTTAGATACAACAGAAGTGTTATCTTCTGCATATTTATTCTCATTACGAGAAAATTTTGATGGGTTTCAGATATTTATTTTTGTGACAGTGGATCCAAACGAGGCGTGTAGAGTACTAGAGACTTCTTCTGGGGGAGAGTTGGGTATCTGTGATGATGATCATGCTATTCAGGAACCATATGAAGGCATGGAGTTTGAATCTGAAGATGCTGCTAAGATATTCTACGATGAATATGCACGACGTGTATGATTTGTCATGCGTGTGATGTCATGCAGACGTTCAGAAAGGGATGGAAGGATTCTTGCCCGCAGGCTTGGGTGCAACAAAGAGGGTTACTGTGTCAGCATCCGAGGGAAATTTTCATCAGTTCGTAAACCTAGGGCCAGCACAAGGGAAGGGTGTAAGGCAATGATTCACATCAAATATGAGAAATCTGGAAAATGGGTGATAACAAAGTTTGTGAAGGATCATAATCATCCATTAGTAGTCTCTCCTCGTGAAGCACGCCAAACAATGGTAGGTTCATATTTCTTATCTATTCGTGTACTATGTTGTTGATATATGCGTTACTAATTTGCTATTGCTCTGCTCATTCGTCTAATCTTATGCAGCGTCCCTTTCTTATTTCTCTATATTTTAAATAGCAACACTGTTTTCTGAATTCAAAATGATGTTTTCTAACATTGCTTTATCATCTTTTGTTGCTTTCTGGGTTTAGGATGAGAAGGACAAGAAAATTCAGGAATTAACAGCAGAGCTTCGGCATAAAAAACGGTTGTGTGCGACATATCAAGAACAACTTACTTCCTTTATGAAGGTTGTTGAAGAGCACAATGAAAAACTATCTACGAAAATTCATCTTGTAGTTAATAATCTCAAAGAATTTGAATCCATAGACGAGATTTTGCACCAAACATAGCCGTGAATCAGGTGAGTGTTTAAGCTCTTGTTATTTAGCATTTACCTATTCAATCATAAATATATCTATACTCTTTGAGAAACATTTTTCTCTCTCACCTAAGTATCCGATGAAGTTCTTGTTAAGGTTTTTTCCTTGGTCTAAAACTGTGTTCATTTATCCAAGCATTAGTTGATGATGTCTATAGTTTGAAGTAGATTTCTGTTTCAATATTGTCCTGTCTATTATCTAACTATCTGTATATGCATCTGTGCAAACTAGACCCTTTACTTTTACTTAAAATATACAAATTTGGTTATGCATTTTGAAGATTTACATCTTAAAAAGATAAAAAACTTATGCACATTTAAATTGTAATCTGCATAATTCTGTTGCTTCCTTCTCCTCTGCATCCAATGTTATGGTTAGACTTGTAGTCAATTTAAGTTGACATAAGCATTTCATATGTTGTGCATAATGCAGGTAGCGGTTGATCACTAAAAAGTTTTGTCATGTTGAAAGAATGATCCTTCAATCCATCATGAATTGCACACTCTGATTCAATGAATACTTTGTAAGGCCAATCTTGCCACAGAGAAGTCCACCATATGTGTAAACTGTGAAATTTTATACCTTGTCACAGTGCCTTGTAATCTTTGTATACTTTTTGTACTCCCCTCATATTACACAAGAAAATGTAAACAATAATACTGTGAAATACTAAGTTTGAAACTATTGTAACACAATAGTATTCTTGATAGGACAAATGTGTTGGAATGCTTTATGTCAATCAATCCGTTTTCTTAGGAACTTTTTGAATAATAATAATAATAATAATAAATTTTAAGTATGTTCAGACCTCCTAATCTGAAAATATAGAGTTATGATTTTTTTAATACTATTTAAAATTTTCTAAGATCAATTACTAATATCAACTAGTAACTTTGTTTAGTATACTGTGGATAATTATATATTCATGATATAATTTATATCTATAACATAAAAAGATTCTCTCTTTTAATTGTGTACAAATTCTTCCCATTTCACTCTTTAATTTTTGTAACCATTTTTTTAAATTCAATTAACAATTCACAATAAAAATAAATTATCCACAATAAGATTATAAAAATAAATTACTTTTGTAATTATTTTGTAATTAACAATTCACTCTTTACTTTTTTATACAATTTTTTATTATTTTATTTTTTAGATTTTGTAATTGTTCTTTTAACCTAAACTAACTAAATAAAATAATAGTCTATGCAATAAATCATCTACAATAAAGTTAAGAAAATTATTTATTTTATAATTATTTTTTGTGAAATTTTATTCTAATTTAATAATATTTTTCACTTTTATTATAATAAAAAAATAAGAAAAACAAATATTTTTAAAATTAACTTTTCTGAATGCTAATTAATAAAAAAATTGTATTTAACATATTTCAAAATGTACAAATTAATTTACGCTGTGTTTGCATGCAAGTGAATTATTATTTAGGATATTTTCAAATTTTTATCCTGAGCTTTTGATTGACATGCATGACCAAACTTCTCAACCATGATGGTTAAAAAGATGATGAGGTTGAGAATGAAAGATAACAATAAAACACTTTATTTTCAAATCCATTTATTCATTCTACATCAAATCCATTGAATAAATTGTTGAATCTGTTCCATATAATAATTTATAGAAATTTTTGTGTTTAACATCTTTCAAAATGTATTTTAATTTATCTATATCCAAATTAATTTAAGTTCACGAGAATAACTTAGTCTTTGTTTGTCAAAGAAGTATTAATCATTCTTTCACAATCCATCCGGCCTAAGTCAGCATTCAATGTCTAGCCAAGCCCACAGGCAGTTCCTCGAAAAATGGCTAACTCTCTGCTCCTCCACAACCACCACGGCCACCGCCAATTCCGCCTCTAAAACCACCGCACGAGCCATCGTTCAAGCATGGACCACGCTCCGCGACTCTCTTCAATCCCCTTCAGCCGAAGAGCCCCAGCTATTACACCAAAGCCTTCAAACCCTAGTAAATTCCCAGTCCTCCCTCCACGTGGCAGAACCCCAAGCCAAGCTCCTCCTCAATCTTCTGCAATCCGCCACCTCACGTCGCTCCTTTCCCCTCCTCCTCACACTCCTTTACGTCTGGGTTCGAAAATCCCCCAACCCCAATCCCACAATCGTTGATTCCACACTCAGAATTCTCTCTTCATATGTCTCCGATGCTGCCATATTCCCTGAAAGTCTTCTCCTTTTGGGCGCTTTCTCCTCCTCGCATACCGTTTCTGAGAAAACCAAGACTCTTTGTTTGGACATGATGGTGAAACTGTTGGCGGGGGTGGACAAGGGTAAACTGTTTTCTGAAATGCCGCGTGTTCTTGCTGGAATTGGTTACGCTTTGTCGTCTTCAGTGACTGTTTACTGTGTGGAGATGTTGGGTTTTCTTTTTAAGATTTGGGGGAAGGGAGAGGGCTGTGTTGCTCATGGACTCATGGTTCTTTATATGTTTGATTGGGTTGTGGAGAATTTAGTTGGTTTTGGCTACTCGGATAAGATGGGTGTTTTGGTTCGAGAAGGTTTCGGTAGGTTTAAGGAGGAACATGCTTCGTTTGCGGTTTTCATGGCCGCGGTTGGAGTGTTGCGGGCTTTGGAGAGACGAGGAGTGGGAGCTGAGCTTGTTTCTGGAATGGGGGTGAAGGATTGTGTGGTTGGTGGGACTGAAGGTTTGGTTAGTGATTTGGTTTCGAGGAGGTTGAGGTTTGGTTATAGTGGTGATAATGAGGGCGATGATGAGGAAGACAGGCTTTTGCTTCGGTGTGTGTCGTTAGGATTAACTCGGACTGTAGCATTTTCGGTACATTCGTCTTTGTTTGTTTGTCTTGCTTTAGCGTTGCTGACTGAGATATTTCCTTTGCCGCGTTTGTATCAATCGGTGATTGAGAAGTCGCGTGAGTCTGGTGGTGCGGAGCTTAAGGAGATCAGAGAACATTTGAATGGTGTACTGTTCAAGGAAGCAGGAGCTGTGACTGGGGTGTTATGCAGTCAGTATTCTTTAGCTGATGAAGAAAGTAAGAACGTGGTTGAGAATCTTATGTGGGAATACTGCCGGGATGTCTACTCTGGACACAGGCGATTGGCTGTGATGCTTAAGGGTGAGAAAGATGAGTTGCTTGAAGGTTTGGAAAAAATTGCAGAATCTGCTTTTCTTATGGTTGTGGTGTTTGCTATGGCTGTAACAAAACACAAGCTGAACTCCAGTTTTGCTCAAGAAATACAGATGGATGTCTCGTTGAAGATACTGGTTTCATTTTCTTGCATGGAGTATTTTCGCCACGTCCGTTTGCCAGAATATTTGGAGACCATTCGCAAGGTGGTTGCAGGTGTTAAGAATGAACATGCTTGTACTTCTTTCGTGAATTCCATGCCCTCTTATGCTGACTTGACAAACAGTCCAGGTTTGCTTTTTAATGTGAATTGCTGTTATATTTATTTATTTTATTGTCTTGTATTTATTTTGTAAGACTCTACATGTCTTCTAGACCAGAAAACCAATTACATATGGTCAAAGAATGAAGTGCAAACGGCCCGCGTTTTGTTTTGCCTACGAGTCATTCCAACTTTCGTTGAATGTTTGCCCAGTCTCGTGTTCAGAAACGTCGTGGCTCCAATTATGTTCCTGTATCCTATATGAAATAAGTATATATTTGGTTTTTTCAGAAAATGGATACAGCCAAATTTTCTATCTACAACATTTTTATGATCTATTTTGAACACTAGATTAGCTTATTCCAGCCATGCATTCAATAGTATTTTGGGGTCCCTTGTTGCATTATCATGCACAGAAAGTTGTCTTCCTTATTCAAGGATATTAGATATATGGAGCACTCAAATGATAAAGTAGCTCGAGCCTCTCATTCTGTGTTCATGACATTTATGACTATGGGGAGGGATTCTGAAAAGAATGATGAAGCTTCATTGAAGGAGCAGCTTGTTTTCCATTACATGCAGAGATCCTTATTGGTACTATATTCTGCTAAAAAGAATCTCAATCCTAAATCTGAGACTGATAATTTGTAATTCATTTTATAGTATTGTGTTATGTGAACAATAGGGATATCCTGGTGTTACTCCTTTTGAGGGTATGGCTTCTGGGGTTGTAGGAATGGTCCAACATCTTCCTGCTGGAAGCCCTGCCATCTTTTATTGCATTCATAGTGTCGCTGAAAAAGCCAACAAGCTCTGTTCTGAAGTCTTCACTTGCGAGACTGATGCGTGGAAGAAATGGCAAGGAGAGCCAGAACCAAGCAAGAAATTAATGGACTTGCTTTTACGCTTAGTTTTCCTTGTTGATATACAAGTAAGTGGTTAACTAATCATGTGACTTTGCCACATTATTTGGAGTTAAGCCATATATTCTTTTCTCTTTGATCAGCGAAGTTAAGCCATATAGATCTTGCAGAATAAAAAATTATACATGTTTTTAAGATGAGGGACCCATTATAAAGAGTTATCCGTTAAGTACTTAAAATTGTTGTTTTGGAAATTGTGTCATTTCACATGCATTAAATATTGCCTTTAGACTTGATCATGTAAACATTTTTTGCTACATTTTAGGTCTTGTCCGACTTGATGAAGCTATTGGCACAGCTGATCACCAAGTTACCACGTGATGCACAGAACATTGTTTTAAATGAGTTATATTCACAAGTGGCTGATTCTGATGATGTTGTCCGCAAGCCCACACTGGTTTCATGGCTTCAGTCGTTATCTTTCCTTTGCACAAAGGCCACAGATCAAAATGCAGCCAACCGAAAAAGTGAAACTGGAGGTAGTCTAACTTTTGCCAGTATTGCAGATCCATCAAACAGCGGAAGAATAACTGCACGACTTTAAGTAACAGATTCAGGTCTCTGTCTCTTTTTTTTTTGTGGCACTACATGTTTTCTATGTTATTTTCTTTCCAATGGTTCCTAGTTATGTCAGATCTTACCAATAGGTCTTGCTACTGCATGCCATAAATTTTGATTCAGTTTTTCACTTCACTTACTGCATTTACCATTTCTCATATGCAGTTCGCCATCTTTTGTTTGAGCCTATCAATTTGTTCTGTAGTTTTAAAATTAGCTTTGGCCATGTTCAGAAAAGGTAATTTGAGTGTGGAAGTAGTTTCTTAGAGCTTTTAAAGTAATTCATCCCTAGATAACTTGTTTTTGATGATTGATTCAATAACTTTAAAAATTATACAATACTTTAATAGGGTAGTAAGAAATTGAAATCCCACCTAAATAGTTGGAATTTTAGAAAGCCTCTGGTTTCTCTATTCACATTTCATTTTGGGCATTAGTTTGGGTGTATCTACCTCCGCAGCTTTTCATCCTCAACCTCCGTAGCTTTCCCAACTGAACCATTACTTGTCAACTTTTACAGAACCCGCTGATAGCAACTAATCTTGCTTACTAGAGTTCCTGATTCCAGTTCGTTTCAATTCTCCATTTTTCCCTTTCTCTACTCGTGTCCTGATTCATTGTTACAAACTTTTATTCTTTCCTATTTAATATTGCTTCAATGATGTTTGGATCTTCTAGTGCCCTAGTTTTCTGGTAATTCAATGTCGGGCCTTTGCTTATGTCCTTCAATGTGTTATGACTTTATGATTGTTTGAGCTTTAACAGATACTGCAAACACTGCGTGAAAATTATACCCTTCAAAGTTTTTAGTGCTGGAACCAGATGCTTGTTTGATCGGCCTTCAGAAACCTGGGTCTAGGCGAGGAAAGGGACTGTTTTAATCAATATTGTTTTCTTGTCAGGGAAGAAAAATGGCCGATACAAATCAAGATGTGAGCTAAATTAAAAGTCTGGTTTGTTTCCTGTCTTTGTCTCAATTTTTCCTTCTCTGCTTTTACTGGAAATAACAAAGTTCGTACTTGTGTAAAGCTTTTTTTAGGAAAGAATAATATAAATTTCAGGCATTTATTACTAACGAAACATCTAAAATAACAACTTTTCTTAATCATGATGAATTAGATGATGCGAACAAAGAACTGGAAGGACATATCAGGAAGATTCAAAATGTTTGAGAGGAAGAAGTGGAAACCCTTTTTATGGGTACCACAGACACACGCACACTGAATTTCCTGATAACAGATTTTCGCCACGTCCGTTTGCCAGAATATTTGGAGACCATTCGCAAGGTGGTTGCAGGTGTTAAGAATGAACATGCTTGTACTTCTTTCGTGAATTCCATGCCCTCTTATGCTGACTTGACAAACAGTCCAGGTTTGCTTTTTAATGTGAATTGCTGTTATATTTATTTATTTTATTGTCTTGTATTTATTTTGTAAGACTCTACATGTCTTCTAGACCAGAAAACCAATTACATATGGTCAAAGAATGAAGTGCAAACGGCCCGCGTTTTGTTTTGCCTACGAGTCATTCCAACTTTCGTTGAATGTTTGCCCAGTCTCGTGTAATAATAAATTTTAAGTATGTTCAGACCTCCTAATCTGAAAATATAGAGTTATGATTTTTTTAATACTATTTAAAATTTTCTAAGATCAATTACTAATATCAACTAGTAACTTTGTTTAGTATACTGTGGATAATTATATATTCATGATATAATTTATATCTATAACATAAAAAGATTCTCTCTTTTAATTGTGTACAAATTCTTCCCATTTCACTCTTTAATTTTTGTAACCATTTTTTTAAATTCAATTAACAATTCACAATAAAAATAAATTGTCCACAATAAGATTATAAAAGTAAATTACTTTTGTAATTATTTTGTAATTAACAATTCACTCTTTACTTTTTTATACAATTTTTTATTATTTTATTTTTTAGATTTTGTAATTGTTCTTTTAACCTAAACTAACTAAATAAAATAATAGTCTATGCAATAAATCATCTACAATAAAGTTAAGAAAATTATTTATTTTATAATTATTTTTTGTGAAATTTTATTCTAATTTAATAATATTTTTCACTTTTATTATAATAAAAAAATAAGAAAAACAAATATTTTTAAAATTAACTTTTCTGAATGCTAATTAATAAAAAAATTGTATTTAACATATTTCAAAATGTACAAATTAATTTACGCTGTGTTTGCATGCAAGTGAATTATTATTTAGGATATTTTCAAATTTTTATCCTGAGCTTTTGATTGACATGCATGACCAAACTTCTCAACCATGATGGTTAAAAAGATGATGAGGTTGAGAATGAAAGATAACAATAAAACACTTTATTTTCAAATCCATTTATTCATTCTACATCAAATCCATTGAATAAATTGTTGAATCTGTTCCATATAATAATTTATAGAAATTTTTGTGTTTAACATCTTTCAAAATGTATTTTAATTTATCTATATCCAAATTAATTTAAGTTCACGAGAATAACTTAGTCTTTGTTTGTCAAAGACGTATTAATCATTCTTTCACAGTCCATCCGGCCTAAGTCAGCATTCAATGTCTAGCCAAGCCCACAGGCAGTTCCTCGAAAAATGGCTAACTCTCTGCTCCTCCACAACCACCACGGCCACCGCCAATTCCGCCTCTAAAACCACCGCACGAGCCATCGTTCAAGCATGGACCACGCTCCGCGACTCTCTTCAATCCCCTTCAGCCGAAGAGCCCCAGCTATTACACCAAAGCCTTCAAACCCTAGTAAATTCCCAGTCCTCCCTCCACGTGGCAGAACCCCAAGCCAAGCTCCTCCTCACTCTTCTGCAATCCGCCACCTCACGTCGCTCCTTTCCCCTCCTCCTCACACTCCTTTACGTCTGGGTTCGAAAATCCCCCAACCCCAATCCCACAATCGTTGATTCCACACTCAGAATTCTCTCTTCATATGTCTCCGATGCTGCCATATTCCCTGAAAGTCTTCTCCTTTTGGGCGCTTTCTCCTCCTCGCATACCGTTTCTGAGAAAACCAAGACTCTTTGTTTGGACATGATGGTGAAACTGTTGGCGGGGGTGGACAAGGGTAAACTGTTTTCTGAAATGCCGCGTGTTCTTGCTGGAATTGGTTACGCTTTGTCGTCTTCAGTGACTGTTTACTGTGTGGAGATGTTGGGTTTTCTTTTTAAGATTTGGGGGAAGGGAGAGGGCTGTGTTGCTCATGGACTCATGGTTCTTTATATGTTTGATTGGGTTGTGGAAAATTTAGTTGGTTTTGGCTACTCGGATAAGATGGGTGTTTTGGTTCGAGAAGGTTTCGGTAGGTTTAAGGAGGAACATGCTTCGTTTGCGGTTTTCATGGCCGCGGTTGGAGTGTTGCGGGCTTTGGAGAGACGAGGAGTGGGAGCTGAGCTTGTTTCTGGAATGGGGGTGAAGGATTGTGTGGTTGGTGGGACTGAAGGTTTGGTTAGTGATTTGGTTTCGAGGAGGTTGAGGTTTGGTTATAGTGGTGATAATGAGGGCGATGATGAGGAAGACAGGCTTTTGCTTCGGTGTGTGTCGTTAGGATTAACTCGGACTGTAGCATTTTCGGTACATTCGTCTTTGTTTGTTTGTCTTGCTTTAGCGTTGCTGACTGAGATATTTCCTTTGCCGCGTTTGTATCAATCGGTGATTGAGAAGTCGCGTGAGTCTGGTGGTGCGGAGCTTAAGGAGATCAGAGAACATTTGAATGGTGTACTGTTCAAGGAAGCAGGAGCTGTGACTGGGGTGTTATGCAGTCAGTATTCTTTAGCTGATGAAGAAAGTAAGAACGTGGTTGAGAATCTTATGTGGGAATACTGCCGGGATGTCTACTCTGGACACAGGCGATTGGCTGTGATGCTTAAGGGTGAGAAAGATGAGTTGCTTGAAGGTTTGGAAAAAATTGCAGAATCTGCTTTTCTTATGGTTGTGGTGTTTGCTATGGCTGTAACAAAACACAAGCTGAACTCCAGTTTTGCTCAAGAAATACAGATGGATGTCTCGTTGAAGATACTGGTTTCATTTTCTTGCATGGAGTATTTTCGCCACGTCCGTTTGCCAGAATATTTGGAGACCATTCGCAAGGTGGTTGCAGGTGTTAAGAATGAACATGCTTGTACTTCTTTCGTGAATTCCATGCCCTCTTATGCTGACTTGACAAACAGTCCAGGTTTGCTTTTTAATGTGAATTGCTGTTATATTTATTTATTTTATTGTCTTGTATTTATTTTGTAAGACTCTACATGTCTTCTAGACCAGAAAACCAATTACATATGGTCAAAGAATGAAGTGCAAACGGCCCGCGTTTTGTTTTGCCTACGAGTCATTCCAACTTTCGTTGAATGTTTGCCCAGTCTCGTGTTCAGAAACGTCGTGGCTCCAATTATGTTCCTGTATCCTATATGAAATAAGTATATATTTGGTTTTTTCAGAAAATGGATACAGCCAAATTTTCTATCTACAACATTTTTATGATCTATTTTGAACACTAGATTAGCTTATTCCAGCCATGCATTCAATAGTATTTTGGGGTCCCTTGTTGCATTATCATGCACAGAAAGTTGTCTTCCTTATTCAAGGATATTAGATATATGGAGCACTCAAATGATAAAGTAGCTCGAGCCTCTCATTCTGTGTTCATGACATTTATGACTATGGGGAGGGATTCTGAAAAGAATGATGAAGCTTCATTGAAGGAGCAGCTTGTTTTCCATTACATGCAGAGATCCTTATTGGTACTATATTCTGCTAAAAAGAATCTCAATCCTAAATCTGAGACTGATAATTTGTAATTCATTTTATAGTATTGTGTTATGTGAACAATAGGGATATCCTGGTGTTACTCCTTTTGAGGGTATGGCTTCTGGGGTTGTAGGAATGGTCCAACATCTTCCTGCTGGAAGCCCTGCCATCTTTTATTGCATTCATAGTATCGCTGAAAAAGCCAACAAGCTCTGTTCTGAAGTCTTCACTTGCGAGACTGATGCGTGGAAGAAATGGCAAGGAGAGCCAGAACCAAGCAAGAAATTAATGGACTTGCTTTTACGCTTAGTTTTCCTTGTTGATATACAAGTAAGTGGTTAACTAATCATGTGACTTTGCCACATTATTTGGAGTTAAGCCATATATTCTTTTCTCTTTGATCAGCGAAGTTAAGCCATATAGATCTTGCAGAATAAAAAATTATACATGTTTTTAAGATGAGGGACCCATTATAAAGAGTTATCCGTTAAGTACTTAAAATTGTTGTTTTGGAAATTGTGTCATTTCACATGCATTAAATATTGCCTTTAGACTTGATCATGTAAACATTTTTTGCTACATTTTAGGTCTTGTCCGACTTGATGAAGCTATTGGCACAGCTGATCACCAAGTTACCACGTGATGCACAGAACATTGTTTTAAATGAGTTATATTCACAAGTGGCTGATTCTGATGATGTTGTCCGCAAGCCCACACTGGTTTCATGGCTTCAGTCGTTATCTTTCCTTTGCACAAAGGCCACAGATCAAAATGCAGCCAACCGAAAAAGTGAAACTGGAGGTAGTCTAACTTTTGCCAGTATTGCAGATCCATCAAACAGCGGAAGAATAACTGCACGACTTTAAGTAACAGATTCAGGTCTCTGTCTCTTTTTTTTTTGTGGCACTACATGTTTTCTATGTTATTTTCTTTCCAATGGTTCCTAGTTATGTCAGATCTTACCAATAGGTCTTGCTACTGCATGCCATAAATTTTGATTCAGTTTTTCACTTCACTTACTGCATTTACCATTTCTCATATGCAGTTCGCCATCTTTTGTTTGAGCCTATCAATTTGTTCTGTAGTTTTAAAATTAGCTTTGGCCATGTTCAGAAAAGGTAATTTGAGTGTGGAAGTAGTTTCTTAGAGCATTTAAAGTAATTCATCCCTAGATAACTTGTTTTTGATGATTGATTCAATAACTTTAAAAATTATACAATACTTTAATAGGGTAGAAAGAAATTGAAATCCCACCTAAATAGTTGGAATTTTAGAAAGCCTCTGGTTTCTCTATTCACATTTCATTTTGGGCATTAGTTTGGGTGTATCTACCTCCGCAGCTTTTCATCCTCAACCTCCGTAGCTTTCCCAACTGAACCATTACTTGTCAACTTTTACAGAACCCGCTGATAGCAACTAATCTTGCTTACTAGAGTTCCTGATTCCAGTTCGTTTCAATTCTCCATT